CGCCAAGTGTCCTCATGCCAGGTGTCCCCACACCAAGTGTCCTCATGCCAGGTGTCCCCACCCCAGGTGTCCCCACACTAAGTGTCCCCACACCAAGTGTCTCCATGCCAAACGTCTCCATACCGAGTGTCCCCTTGACATATGTCCCTATACCAGGCACCTCCGTGCCAAGCGTCCCCGTGCTGTGTGTCCCCACACCAAGTGTCCCCACACCAAGGGTCCCCATGCCAGGTGTCCCCTTGCCAGATGTCCCCATGCCAGGTGTCCCCACGCCAAGTGTCCCCACACCAAGGGTCCCCATGCCAGGTGTCCCCACGCCAAGTGTCCCCACACCAAGGGTCCCCATGCCAGGTGTCCCCACGCCAAGTGTCCCCTTGCCACGTGTCCCCGCCCCAGGTGTCCCCATGCCAGACGTCTCCATACCAAGTAGCCCCTTGGACATGTGTCCCCATACCAAGTGACCCAACACCAGGTGTCCCCATGCCAGGTGTCCCCTTGCCAGATGTCCCCATGCCAGGTGTCCCCACGCCAAGTGTCCCCACACCAAGGGTCCCCACGCCAGGTGTCCCCACACCAAGTGTCCCCACACCAAGGGTCCCCATGCCAGGTGTCCCCACGCCAAGTGTCCCCACACCAAGGGTCCCCACGCCAGGTGTCCCCACACCAGGTGTCCCCACACCAAGTGTCCCCACACCAAGGGTCCCCACGCCAGGTGTCCCCACACCAGGTGTCCCCACACCAAGTGTCTCCATGCCAAACGTCTCCATACCGAGTGTCCCCTTGACATATGTCCCTATACCAGGCACCTCCGTGCCAAGCGTCCCCGTGCTGTGTGTCCCCACACCAAGTGTCCCCACACCAAGTGTCCCCACACCAAGTGTCTCCATGCCAAACGTCTCCATACCGAGTGTCCCCTTGACATATGTCCCTATACCAGGCACCTCCGTGCCAAGCGTCCCCGTGCTGTGTGTCCCCACACCAAGTGTCCCCACACCAAGGGTCCCCACGCCAGGTGTCCCCACACCAAGTGTCCCCACACCAAGTGTCTCCATGCCAAACGTCTCCATACCGAGTGTCCCCTTGACATATGTCCCTATACCAGGCACCTCCGTGCCAAGCGTCCCCATGCTGTGTGTCCCCACACCAAGTGTCCCCACACCAAGGGTCCCCACGCCAGGTGTCCCCACACCAAGTGTCCCCACACCAAGGGTCCCCATGCCAGGTGTCCCCACGCCAAGTGTCCCCTTGCCACGTGTCCCCGCCCCAGGTGTCCCCATGCCAGACGTCTCCATACCAAGTAGCCCCTTGGACATGTGTCCCCATACCAAGTGACCCAACACCAGGTGTCCCCATGCCAGACGTCTCCATACCAAGTAGCCCCTTGGACATGTGTCCCCATACCAAGTGACCCAACACCAGGTGTCCCCATGCCAGACGTCTCCATACCAAGTAGCCCCTTGGACATGTGTCCCCATACCAAGTGACCCAACACCAGGTGTCCCCATGCCAGGTGTCCCCACGCCAAGTGTCCCCTTGCCACGTGTCCCCGCCCCAGGTGTCCCCATGCCAGGTGTCCCCACGCCAAGTGTCCCCTTGCCACGTGTCCCCGCCCCAGGTGTCCCCATGCCAGACGTCTCCATACCAAGTAGCCCCTTGGACATGTGTCCCCATACCAAGTGACCCAACACCAGGTGTCCCCATGCCAGACGTCTCCATACCAAGTAGCCCCTTGGACATGTGTCCCCATACCAAGTGACCCAACACCAGGTGTCCCCATGCCAGGTGTCCCCACGCCAAGTGTCCCCACACCAAGGGTCCCCACGCCAGGTGTCCCCACACCAAGTGTCTCCATGCCAAACGTCTCCATACCGAGTGTCCCCTTGACATATGTCCCTATACCAGGCACCTCCGTGCCAAGCGTCCCCGTGCTGTGTGTCCCCACACCAAGTGTCTCCATGCCAAACGTCTCCATACCGAGTGTCCCCTTGACATATGTCCCTATACCAGGCACCTCCGTGCCAAGCGTCCCCGTGCTGTGTGTCCCCACACCAAGTGTCTCCATGCCAAACGTCTCCATACCGAGTGTCCCCTTGACATATGTCCCTATACCAGGCACCTCCGTGCCAAGCGTCCCCGTGCTGTGTGTCCCCACACCAAGTGTCCCCACACCAAGGGTCCCCATGCCAGGTGTCCCCACGCCAAGTGTCCCCTTGCCACGTGTCCCCGCCCCAGGTGTCCCCATGCCAGGTGTCCCCTTGCCAGATGTCCCCATGCCAGGTGTCCCCACGCCAAGTGTCCCCTTGCCACGTGTCCCCGCCCCAGGTGTCCCCATGCCAGGTGTCCCCACGCCAAGTGTCCCCACACCAAGTGTCTCCATGCCAAACGTCTCCATACCGAGTGTCCCCTTGACATATGTCCCTATACCAGGCACCTCCGTGCCAAGCGTCCCCGTGCTGTGTGTCCCCACACCAAGTGTCCCCACACCAAGGGTCCCCATGCCAGGTGTCCCCACGCCAAGTGTCCCCACACCAAGGGTCCCCACGCCAGGTGTCCCCACACCAAGTGTCCCCACACCAAGGGTCCCCATGCCAGGTGTCCCCACGCCAAGTGTCCCCACACCAAGGGTCCCCATGCCAGGTGTCCCCACGCCAAGTGTCCCCTTGCCACGTGTCCCCGCCCCAGGTGTCCCCATGCCAGACGTCTCCATACCAAGTAGCCCCTTGGACATGTGTCCCCATACCAAGTGACCCAACACCAGGTGTCCCCATGCCAGGTGTCCCCACGCCAAGTGTCCCCTTGCCACGTGTCCCCGCCCCAGGTGTCCCCATGCCAGGTGTCCCCACGCCAAGTGTCCCCACACCAAGGGTCCCCACGCCAGGTGTCCCCACACCAAGTGTCCCCACACCAAGTGTCCCCACACCAAGGGTCCCCATGCCAGGTGTCCCCACGCCAAGTGTCCCCACACCAAGGGTCCCCATGCCAGGTGTCCCCTTGCCAGATGTCCCCATGCCAGGTGTCCCCACGCCAAGTGTCCCCACACCAAGGGTCCCCATGCCAGGTGTCCCCACGCCAAGTGTCCCCACACCAAGGGTCCCCATGCCAGGTGTCCCCTTGCCAGATGTCCCCATGCCAGGTGTCCCCTTGCCAGATGTCCCCATGCCAGGTGTCCCCACGCCAAGTGTCCCCTTGCCACGTGTCCCCGCCCCAGGTGTCCCCATGCCAGGTGTCCCCACGCCAAGTGTCCCCTTGCCACGTGTCCCCGCCCCAGGTGTCCCCATGCCAGACGTCTCCATACCAAGTAGCCCCTTGGACATGTGTCCCCATACCAAGTGACCCAACACCAGGTGTCCCCATGCCAGGTGTCCCCACGCCAAGTGTCCCCTTGCCACGTGTCCCCGCCCCAGGTGTCCCCATGCCAGACGTCTCCATACCAAGTAGCCCCTTGGACATGTGTCCCCATACCAAGTGACCCAACACCAGGTGTCCCCATGCCAGACGTCTCCATACCAAGTAGCCCCTTGGACATGTGTCCCCATACCAAGTGACCCAACACCAGGTGTCCCCATGCCAGGTGTCCCCTTGCCAGATGTCCCCATGCCAGGTGTCCCCACGCCAAGTGTCCCCACACCAAGGGTCCCCACGCCAGGTGTCCCCACACCAGGTGTCCCCACACCAAGTGTCTCCATGCCAAACGTCTCCATACCGAGTGTCCCCTTGACATATGTCCCTATACCAGGCACCTCCGTGCCAAGCGTCCCCATGCTGTGTGTCCCCACACCAAGTGTCCCCACACCAAGGGTCCCCATGCCAGGTGTCCCCACGCCAAGTGTCCCCTTGCCACGTGTCCCCGCCCCAGGTGTCCCCATGCCAGACGTCTCCATACCAAGTAGCCCCTTGGACATGTGTCCCCATACCAAGTGACCCAACACCAGGTGTCCCCATGCCAGGTGTCCCCACGCCAAGTGTCCCCTTGCCACGTGTCCCCGCCCCAGGTGTCCCCATGCCAGACGTCTCCATACCAAGTAGCCCCTTGGACATGTGTCCCCATACCAAGTGACCCAACACCAGGTGTCCCCATGCCAGACGTCTCCATACCAAGTAGCCCCTTGGACATGTGTCCCCATACCAAGTGACCCAACACCAGGTGTCCCCATGCCAGACGTCTCCATACCAAGTAGCCCCTTGGACATGTGTCCCCATACCAAGTGACCCAACACCAGGTGTCCCCATGCCAAGCATCTCCATACCAAACGTCCCCAAGCCAGGTGTCCCCATGCCAAGGAGAGCCCCACAGGGTCCCAGGCCTTCCCCAGCCCCTGTGGGTGCTCAGGCCAGGGGACAGCAGTGTCACCCAGCGGTGAGCAACGCCGGAGGGTGGGAGAGGGTGGTGGGCAATCCTCTGTGGGGGAGCAGGCTGGCCTGGACAGGAAGGGGCACGGGCAGGGGACACAGCAGGTACGGGATGGGCACGGCCGGGGGACATGGTGCCCGTCACTGCCTAATCCCTGGGGACTTCACAGGATGACACACAGGAGAAAGTAGGTGAAGGCTCCAAGTGACACCGTTTAATGTGCCTTTGTGGGATGGGGACAGGGACATGTGTCAGGCAGGATGGGGACAGGGAGGTGGGACAGCCTGAGCCGGGGGGATGGGGCTGGGGGCCACTGGGATGGGCATCACGGGATGGGGACAGGGGCCTTTGGGCTGGGGACAGCTGCAGCCCTGCTCTCCCTGCCTCAGTTTCCCCAGGAGAGCTCGTCTCAGCTGGGGACAGAGTGGCAGGGAGGGAGGTGACATGCCCAGGTACCTGAGGTGACACCAAGCCACTTGCCTAGGGGTCCGGCAGGCGCTGGCCGTCCCCCTTGGTCTCACAGCCCGTGTCCCCAGCCTGGCTCACGGCAGCCACCTCCTGTCCCCGGTAGCGCATGGGGCTGGCGCAGAGGGTGTCGTGGGTGGTGGTGAGCCGTGGGGCCGCACGCCGCAGCAGCGCCAGCAGCGGGCGCTCGCAGACCCAGGGGTTGCCCGAGATGTCGAGGTCCAACGCGGGGCCGGGGGACCGGAGGGGCAGCTCCAGTGCCCGCAGCCGGTTATGTGCCAGGTCGAGGACGCGGAGATGACGCAGGGGGACGAAGATGCCGGCGGGCAGTGCCCGCAGCTCGTTACCCTGGAGGAAGAGGAAGCGCAGGGCAGGCACGGGCACGAAGGTGGTGGGCGGCAGCGTGCCCAGCCGGTTCCCCTCCAGGCCCAGCCCCTGCAGCGCCCGCAGCCCGGCCAGCGCGCCCGGCGCCAGCGATGCCAGGCGGTTGCGGGACAGATCCAGGCTACGCAGGGAATGCAGCGCGTGGAAAACGGCTGGGCAGCTCCCGGCGGGCGGCACCTCCGCCAACGCGTTGGCAGCCAGGTTGAGCCAGTGCAGCTGGGGAAGGTGCTGGAACCAGGCGGGCTGCAGCGCCTGCAGCAGGTTCCCCTGCAGCACCAAGTGCTGGAGGTGGCCGGTGCCGGTGAAGATGCCAGCGGGGAGGTCGGCCAGGAGGTTGTCCGTCAGGTCGAGGACGCGCAGGGTGGGCACGGGGCGCAGGAGGGCTTCGGGGAGGGTTGTAAGGCGGTTGGAGGAGAGATGGAGCTCCTGCAGCTGGGGCAGCCCGGCCAGGGCGGTGGGGAGGAGGGCGGCCAGTGCCGTGAACTCCACCGAGATGGCCAGGGTGGTGGTGGGCAGCCCGGAGGGGAAGGTGCTCAGGGTGGGCTCCGTGCAGATGAAATGGGTGGCATTGGGTTGGGGGGAGCACGGCGCGGCGGGGCCGAGTGGCAGCAGCAGCAGCAGCAGCAGCGGTGGCAGGATTCGGCCCGATGGCATCATGGTGCTGGCCTGCGGGGCAGGCGGCCATCGTCGCTCGAGAGTTGTGCAAGCCCTGCCGCTGCCGTCCCGCTGCCGGCTCTCCACCCCGGGGTGGGCAGGCCATGGCTGCAGGCAGGGACATGCCCCGACCCCCATGTCCCCCCCTCCCTGGCCCCACTCCGAGCCCCCCAGCCCTGCCCTCACCTTCCCCACCGGCCAGCGAGCCTACCCCGCGACG